CTAGAGATGCCTTTATCCAAGGAAGAGAGGTGTGGTTGACACTCATGCAAATGAAAGAGGAAAAGAGCCCGCAAATAGATAGGTTCCCTAAGGAATTTTGGGAGACCATGTTGAGTACTGTAGCGCAGGACCTGATGGACTAGATAAAGGAATTAGTGGGACAAGGTGCCTTGACCCTGTTGTATAAGAAAGAGGATCAAATGAACATAAGAAACTGTAGGCCGATCATCCTCTTCATTGTGGTGTATAAATTAGTGGCAAAGACACTGACAAACCGCCTGGGGGAGGTGATGGGGGACATTATTCATCCGACACAGACAAGCTTTATTAAAGGGCGGAAAATCTAGAACGACATTCTATTGGTTAATGAGATCATCAAATTATCAAGGCAATCTAAACACAACACTGCCATTATCTTTGTAGATTTTGAAAAGGTGTATGACCATATCGACTGGACTTTTCTGGATAAATGCCTCGAGAGGATGAATTTTGGCCCAACCTTTAGAAGGTGGGTCGAAATCTTGCGTCAAAACGCCACAACGACCATCCAAGTAAATGGTAGAATGACCCGTGCTATACACCTAGAACGGTCGGTGAGGCAAGGAAACCCTATCGCCCCTTTTCTCTTCGTTATTATTATGGAGGTCCTAGCAGTAAACTTAAGGGTACACAAGGACCTTCAAAAGATAAGACTCTCCTCTATCCCAGAGGACGCCGTCCCGATTTGCTCTCTTTTTGCAGATGATCTTACCATAATGATGGATGCGTCGCATGGAAATATGCTGGAAATCCAAAAGCTGATGGAGCGTTTTTGTTCCCTCTCAGATATGACAGTTAATTGGGGAAACAAGATACAAAGGTGGTGGATACACTACCATGGAGGGAGACCACCAGACACCCCAAATATTAAATGGATACCCACAGAAGCCACGATTAGAATCTTGGGGGTCCAGATGACAGCAGAGGGGAAACCACCCTTGAATGATGAATGGCTCATGCAACCAGTCCTAGGGAAACTGACCCAATGGAAAGGCCGACAAACTTCCTTGATGGGTGATCCCTAGTAATCAACAATGTAATCCTGGTTGCCCTCTTGTATAAAACAGCAATCTGGGCTCTCAGTAAACCTGCGACAACTTCCCTCCAGAGACATGTGGCAACTTCTGTATGGAGAGGGAATCACGAGTGCTTAAGGACGATCAGTAGAGTGGTCTGGCAAGCGGTTGTGCAGCCAAAGGCTAGAGGGGGGCTAGGGATAAGTGATTCGACTAAAGTGATGGCCCTGACCCTTCAATGGGTAAAAGGTCTTCTCTTTTCCACACAAGCGCCATGACAACCTTTGGCCTTGCAGCAGATTGCTAGGCTAGTGCCACCGAGCCCCCTGAGGTAAAACCGGAGACGTGGCTTGAGGACAGACACTGGACCATACCGCAAAAATCAACCCGGACCAATGTGGAGGGAGGGTCAGACAGACAGACGACCAGACAAGACTTAAGAAAAGACCCACTTTGGGCCACGGTACAAGAAACATGGTGTAAGTTGCCCCTACCATTTGACCCCCAAACTGTAATCTGAGTTTTAGGCCTGTTAGTCAGGAGCTGAAACTGGGGGTCCCCGTTAACCATGTGTGTACCCAACAAAGTCCCACCAATGCGATGGGAAGAAGTAACCCGACAACCGCTGTTTGGAAATCGATGGGTAACACGCCCCCAAAGTAGGGTCTTTCACAGCAGTGAAAACCCTTGGAAAGGTTGGGTCAAGAATGATATCCGCCGAGTCAAGGATATCTGGGACCAGGACACCAAAAACTGGCTGTCAGAGACCAGAGTAAGGAGGAACCTGAAATACTGCCATAAAGGGGGTGAAGCGTTAAAGACCATTATTTTTGCTATCCCCCTCGATTGCATCCGAATTTTCAAGAAAGGGCCAGTGGGGATAGAGGGAGATTGGGTGGGGTTTTGGGGTACTGAGGGGCTGGTCTGAAGTGTAGTATACACCCACCAGTCTGGCAGGGGGGAGGAGAAGGAAGTGATCACCAGCCAGTTCAGAATGAAAATTGACAGTACTCTTGAACAGGTACACCCAAAAGATACACCATGGTACCCGAGGTCAGGGATATACCGTATCTGTGTCCTCAAAGAAAAGACCCAATGGCGAGCATACAAGCCGAACAAACCAATTCAAAAGCTCCCGCTAGACACCGATGAGTGGATATGGACTCAGCAATATGGGAGGGGGAGCTCCGAGGTGAGGCGGCTACAGTCTCTCTCAGTCAAGGCAGCCTACCGAATGCTGTGTCCAAGAGTAAACCTGAAAGACATGGTGGAGGCACGGTGGATGAAACATCTAAACGTGGGGAGAGACACACTACGACCGGTCAGATGGTTTAAAGCGAGTAGGGCCATGCCGGCGAAACTAGCTTCATATGGCTATGGAGGTGGTGGGACCGCATATGAAGACAACTGGGCACCTCACAACCGTGACCATAGATCACTCAACTGTGAGGCATGGGCTCCAGAACAAGCTACCCCTTTGGAAGAAAACATGTTTAAAATAGGGCGCCGAACGATCATTTGGGCCATCTGGTGGAGAAGATGCACACTCGAAATGGAAGGCGTACGCCGGGACGGAACAAAGTTCATCAATTCAATTACAATAGATGGAGCCTCTCCTCAGGTGCTAGTGGTGTCTGCTCGTATCAGCACCACTAACACTGGTGGGGGCGTGTTAAAAAAATATATATATATATTCTATTTGACGATATATATAATAATAAAAGAACGGCCGACAGAGGGAGCAGCAGCATCGAAGTGGCACAGTTTTTGTAATTTAGAGAGGAAAGTCTTGAGAATGCCTTAGGATTCTGGGCACCTCTTGCAACTCATTTTAGTTTTTTTTAATACTGTTATATTCATGGATCTGCGGTTTTCGATGCCAGAACGACGCTGGCCGGAGCTGGGGGGTTGCCCTGTAACCTGTGATAGCAGGAGCGTGAGGCCTGGTAGAAAGATCTGGGGGTGCCTTGGGCCGGGCATTCCAAGGGAAAACCTAGGGTTGCTGTCGATACGATGCTGGCTGGAGCTGGGGTGAGTTGTGTTGCCCTGTAATCTAGCACGATGGGGGCATGAGGCCTGGGGAAGCTCGGCAGGGAATAAGACAGTGTTAGAGATTCTTAGAATGTTTTGCTGGGGATTCCAGGGGTTCTGAGCATTCAAAGGGCTTCTGTGGCTTTCCGTTTTGACTTAGTGCGTGCTGCTCGAGTAGCCTACAGTCTTCCCCCGAATACAACGTACGGACATTATAGCTGAATTGAGACTGAAAGATACCCCATATTCAACCATTCGGGGGAAGACTGTAGTAATAGATTAGCAGTTATCCATGCTTTTCTTAGAATTTCTAGAATCTGTTTTATAGTTGTCAGATTGTTCCTAGCCGAAACCAGGTAAGGGCCCTGGTACTTCAAATCTTTTGTATAATATGGATGCTGGGCCCGGTTCCCAGCACATGTTGCTCCCCACGAATAGACTGGAGCATGTGCCCCCCCCCCCCCAAAAAAAAAAAAAAAAAAAAAAAAAAGGGCCGTCTAGAAGCCAATCGATGGGAGAGGCGACATACTCACAATACTTCAAGGTTGGGTTGACTGATGAAGGGGGACATTGTGTGGCCGCACACTCGTCTAGCCCCGCACCACCGCTTCTCTCGTCAAGATGATCATCTGTACACTGCCCTCTACGTTCCCTGACACCCACCTTGCACCTCCCTCATATGGGCATGGGCTGCAGTAGGTGCATCGCCCTTGGTTTATACAACCAGTACTTCCTAAAGTAGTGCCCGTTAACGCTACGCGATTTTAGGAAACGTACGGGCCACTACAGGAGCGCCCAAATTCATCCAACCAGAAACGTTTCTTACTCTATTTTTTTGGGCGGCCTATAGCTGGGCCAAGCACTGGTGGTTTAAGAGAAAAAGCTGAAAAACGAAATTATGTACGTAGGTGTCACATTACCAGAGGACACACTGAAAATATTTAAACATTAAACAGTCCCACTACCTCCATCCTGTGGATTGTTTTATTTCCAAAACAGAGGCAGGGAGCGTAGAACTGCTACCATCGTCTCCCAGACAGAACGCCCAGTCATTGTAGCTATATATCGGCCAACTTTCAGTCTAGATAGCACTGGCCAAGTGTTATATTCGGGTGAAGGTAGTTTCCATTCTCGCTGTTGCAGGGGTTTGCTGTGCCCCCTTGCAAAGATATTTTATTATTAAATGTTAGTCGGGTTAACCATATTTATTACCATCATAGGTCTTTGGGACTTCATTTCATTTTGGGTAGATAATCGATTGTAGTTTATTTACTTATTGAGTTTTCTATTTATTCATCTCGAAAGAGACGTAAGAACCAACTAGAAACAGGCAGGCGCGGTTATCGCCTTGATCGCCACATGTCGTCTTGCAGGGGTGGAGAGGCAGAGCACACGACAGGCGGGAAGAGTAAAGGCGGCTGGCGGTTGGAAGAACGTCATGAGCTAGGCCAACCTTTTTGGAAAGCACCTACACTAGGGACGTTGGACCCAGTTTCCAACAGATAGAGTTAGGGCCTCGCCACACAGGCTGTCGAAATGTGCAAAACGAGAATGAACTTGCCGCTAGAACATGGCCAGATGCGCCTGGCACATTTTTGTCGTTTTCACGTTTCGAAAGCCTGTGTGGCGAGGCCCTTAGACTGAGTTATAAGGAACAGCTAGTTTGTTTGTCGAGCGTGGCTCGTAAGCGAAACTGGCTGAGGCTGCCAGGATAACTCCGGGTTGAATTGTGAGGTCCCCGGCCTCGTCTCAAATTTTTGCAATAAAAGTTGAATGCTTGGAAAAAAAAAAAAAAAAAAAAAAAAAAAAACATGTCGCTGAGTCCGGAACTGTACCGGTGCCTACGTGGCCGATGAGAGGAGGAAAGGTGCTCCTTCCATGAATATTCGCCAACGTGTCTATTGCCGGCAGTGAGCGGTCCCATGAGTGCTGGCTACCGTCGTCTGAAATTGCTTTCGAGCCGGTCAGACTCTCATCGACCAGGGAAGGGGAGCTGTACATTGTCCCATGAGTGCTTGCCATTCGCGAGCGCACACGTTGAGCCGCCAAGTGGCTCACTACCAGGTAACCCATTCATGTGGCGGTTTCTTCATTCGCCGGCAGATTGATTACCGTCTTTCTGAATCAGACGTGCTGCATCACAGATCGGACTATCCAGTGGACCGACCGATTGTACGTGTGACATGACACAATTTTTATGTTTATTTTGCTTGCTGCTCTGCTTGATTGGTTGATTGATTGATTAATCAATCAGTCTTCCGTTCATTTCGACCCATTTTGGATCTCTCCTCATCGGCAGGCTCACGGAATTGGTGGGCAGGAATTTCGGTTCTTTATCGAGTGTTTTGGGAATCTTCGGGTTAATTAATTAGTCTGCGATCTTCAGTGAATGACCAATTGGATACGGGGGAAAGACTGTCCCTCGGGCATCCGGTGGAGGGAGCAAAAATTCAGAATAGTTGGCAATCCATTTCCCTAGTCTCTGGTTTAGGTACAGAGGTTTATAGCGGTTGGAAGAACGTCATGAGCTTTAAGCTCTCAAATGGTTTGCGCCMMGGAATCCAAAGATCGGTGTTTTGTAGCTGAGGCTGAAGAGGAACTGGATTGTGAAGAGAGGCAAGCCATCCTTCTGCACGAAGCCATCAGGGCAGGCCAATTGCTAATCATCCCCCTCTTCTCCCCCCCCCCCCCTTCCCCACTTGTCGCGTCGCAGACTCTTCTGCGGCTCTGCTCGACGACGGCGCTCTCACACCGAAACTCAGGAGGGGTATTGGTTTGGGACAACAGTGAAACGGGTTTTTTATGGTTTTGAGTTTTCGCGAGAGAGAGAGAGAGAGAGAGAGAGAGAGAGAGAGAGAGAGAGAGAGAGAGAGAGAGAGAGAGAGAGAGAGAGAGAGATCCGGAGAGGTGGGGTGGCGGGGAGGCGGAGATTGGTGCGGGTGCGAGAGGGGAGAAAGATCGGGGGCTTCTGGGTTTGTGGAGGGGTGGCGATTGTAGTGGGTGGGAGAAGGGATTTAATCTCGTAGAGGCAAGCTGGCTTCAGCAGGCAGGTCCCCCCCTAGAGTGGGGCGGTTTCAAAGGTTGCAAGCGTCGCCTGGGGAATCGCCAGATAGGGGCGGGATGGCGGGGATTCGGATGAGCGAAGAATTAGAAGGTATAGAGAACCAGTTGAAGGATTTGTTTAAGCAGTTAAGTTCCGGCTTCCAGAAGCTAGAAAAACTCAAGGACCAGGGTCGTCAGGCCCGTCAGCTTGAGGAATTGACGGGCAAGTTGAGAGAATGCAAACGCTTAATTATGGAGTTCGATCGCGAGATCAAGGCTCAAGAAGCGAGTAACCCCGAATCCCTAACAAGGGAGCTCAACGACACGAAGCAATCGATGATCAAAGAACTAAACGGGTATGTATCGTTGAAGAAAACCTATGCTTCTACTTCGGGTGGAGGAAGGGCGGGGTTGGGGATTGATGGAGGAGGGGCTGGTGAGGATGGGGGAGAGGCTTTCCAGAGGAAGGCGGCGATGATGAGCACGGAGGAGCTGAAAGATCATGGCCGCAAAGTTATGGACAATACCGATCAAGCGATCGAATCCGCTCAGAAGATTGTCCATCAAACTGTGAACATTGGCGCCCAAGTGGCAATCACGACGAAAGGCCAGACGGAGCAGATGAAGAGAGTGATCAACGAGCTTGATGACATTCATTTCAGCATCAAGAGGGCTACGAAGCTGGTGAAAGAAATCGGTCGGCAAGTTGCAACCGATCGATGCATTATGGCATTTCTGGTCTTGATCGTGCTTGGCGTCAT